CAGGAACTACATGAACCTCAAGCGGGTAAAGATTCTCCCCTTTGTCCATTTCCCCTCCCAGGGGCATTTTTCATAAATTTTTCTAATTAAGGGGGGGGATTTAATATTTTCGCTAAAATTTTTTATAGTTACCCTGCTTTTATACCCATCTGGTCCTGGGCTCTTCCCCATCTCTATATTTTTTACTACTACCTTTATCTCTTATTGTGTGATCTCTGCTTCTAGGAATTTAGTTGATCCTCTTTTATTTGAGGTAATCCCGTTTTTTTTTAAATAAATCTTCCTTTTTTCCTTTTTTTCCTCTTCCCTATTATTATTTATTTCCTCATTGGGGATAATATTATACAGCTTCCTATAATAAATCCACAAACATCTTTGCAATCTCTTTATTTGAGTGGACCAATTCTCCCTTGGGGCTCTTTATTTTGTCTATATAATTCCTATTTTTTTTTTTTTTCCTTAAGGATCTCATTAGATATTTTCCTGGCCTTATCTCCCCATTTATAGTTTTCACTTAATACTTTGTTATACACTCTCCTTCTCTCCTCTTCCATCAGAGGTTTCCAGTTCCTCTTTATTTTTTTTATTTTTTTTTCCAAGCTACACAACAAAGTTTATTGCATAAAAAACAAGATACAAGTGATCACACGAAAATGTACAGATGGAGTGTAGATAGGACATACAGCAAAGCATGTATCATACAAAGGGTGGGGGAGGGTCCAATTTTTTTTGGAAAACCAAACAGTGTGGATGAACTAGGCCACGACAGGGTTGTGCCTGTAATATTTAGGTAGGCTTGTCAAGTGCTAAAAAGGAAAGAGACGGGGCCTCCTACCATATTGTCTTGCGGAAAAAATCTGTAGGGGGAAGAGGAGCAAATACGATACCTAAGTAGAAGTCAATACTACAGAATACGATGATGGAATTGTGCGAATGTAGGAGTAATTGTCGTGGGAACCGGAAGGACGAATTGCGGGAGGTGATGCTGACCACCTACTCAATGTTCTATTGGAAAAAGGTCCGAGACGTGTGTAAGCATATGAAAAGAAAAGACAATTTTGAGAAGGCGAGGAAAAAAAAAAGGGAAAGAAAAGAAAGGAGAAAGAAAAAAAAAAAGAAAAAAAAAAGAGGAGGGAGAGGGGGGGAGGGAAGGGGGGAGGGAGGAAGGGAAGCAAATATGGAGGGTAAAATTAAGAGAGGGGACAACTGTCAAAAATATTTATCCTCAATACAAACAGTAACGGGAGTGGGTGGAAACATACGCTTTCATGGGCGTCGAAATAAGAATGCGCATGTAACACAGGGGGGAGTATGACAGCACCCTCAGGTCAAATACTACTAAATGACACTATCGAGAAGTCCATATCAGGTTCAGACAGGCTGGTCCATGAGGGATCGATACTCCGGGGTAGTCAGAAAATGGGGTCCAACAGGCCCATACGTGAGAGAATTTCGTAGGAGTGTCGAGAGCAGTCGCAACCAGTTCTTCCATGGTCCGCCGTTTTACCCACTCGGGTGAGCCATTCACGTATAGAGGGGGAGAGCGAGTGGATTTAAAGTACTGAGCCCTGGGAAGGGAAGAATGATGGAGGAGGAATTGAGCAGGAGAGAGAGCTAAGGGTAAGGTACTTATAGACACTACTAACCTGTGGACCTCCTGCCAAAATGGTTGAAGAATCGGCAAGACCACCAAATGTGAAGAAAGGACCCATCCGGGGTCCGCATCTCCAGCAGCTGTTGGGAAGGCGGGGTTATTAAAAATGATGAATTCTTGAAGGAGTTCGGTACCATCTAGAGGCTATTTTGTAGCTGTTTTCTTGTGTCGAGACATTGAGGGAACATTTTATGAGAATATGGAAGACCAGGTCCCAGTCTGAGTCCGACAGCTCAGCATTAAGATCTCTCCTCCAAGCCCGACATGCGGGGAGGGAGTCATAAGACCGGCTCTCCACTAGAAGTGGGTAGATCTCCGAGATCAGATGTTTCCGCGGTTCAGCCTTCGTGCATGCAGATTCAAATGGGGTAAGAGAGCGATGCCAGTTATGAGGGGGTTTATGAGAGAGAGCAGATAATGTCGGATCTGGAAATATACCCAGAAAGGGAATTCGCGAATACCCAGGCTTTCTTGTAATTCTCGGAGTGTTTTCACCTTGCCCTTGCGGAGAAAATGTTTCACTAAGAGCTGTTTGTGTGGCCAATGTTTCATTAAAAAGTCTTTATGCATGCCAGGGGGAAAGTCAGGGTTGAGGCGTATGGGGGGTCAGGGGGTTGGGTTTGCCAGAAATGGCTGCAGATCTACAAGCCGAACGGAAAATTTTTAACGTAGGTCCCACCAAGGGATGGGGTGAGAAGAACTTGTGGCGTGTGTTTCGGCGAAAGCCAAGGAATCGATGCCAGGGGGAAGGGCGAGCAAGCATTCTCTATAGATATCCAGTCTTTAGAGGCAGTGTGGAACGTGCCAGTCAACTATCCGGGAAAGATGACACGCCCAATTAGTAGCGGTAAAGATCAGGGAATCCTATACCCCCTTTAAGTTTAGAGAGGGTTAATTGGGAGTAGGCAATACGCGGACGTTTTGTGGCTCCAAAGGAACAGTGAACACAGTCTTTTGCAAGAAGCAAAGAAAGCAGGAGTATAGCTGTGAATTGGTAATGTTTGGAAGAGATACAGGAGACGGGGGAAGTACATTCATTTTAATGATCGCTGCCCTTCCAAACCACGAGAAACAAGGACGGTGCCATTTATTGAGGTCTTCTTGCATAGAGCGAAGAGCGGGAAGAAAGTTTTTCATGTAAAGGTCATCAAGGTTGCTGGTGAGCTGGATACCAAGATAAGTTAGGGAATCCCTTTCCCAGTGAAATGGGAATTGGGCCTCACAAGCAGAGACTAGCTCTGCAGACAAAGTAATGTTAAGGGCGGCAGATTTGGAAAAATTAATTTTAAAATTCGACAAATATCTGAAAAGGGCAAGTCTTTCAGTAGGTTTGGAAGAGTGATGTGAGGGTCCGCCAGGAACAAAAGAATATCATCCGCATAAGCTGCAAGCTTATATTCCTTATCTGTCACCGTGATTCCTTTAACATCAGGGTTTAAACGAATTTTCCGCAACAGGGGCTCAAGGGATAGGACAAACAAAAGCGGGGAGAGGGGGCATCCCTGACGTGTACCGTTCCGTAAGTGAAAGGAGTTGGACAGATGGCCGTTCACCCGGACCCGGGCAGTAGGGGCAGAATAGAGGGCCATGATAAAGTTGAGCATCTTCTCACCCAACCCAGTGCCACAAAGACGCGTTCAAGTAATCCCAGGCAATCCTGTCAAAGGCCTTTTCTGCATCCAAGGAGAGGAAAAAACCGGCGTGTTAGACCTGCGAAGCCAGTGATGGAGATTAAGGGCCTTGATAGTGTTGTCCCTTGCTTCTCTACCAGGGATAAATCCTGCTTGGTCCAAATCGACCAGGGAGGGAAGCGAGGGAAGAAGAAGAACGATTAGCAATGATCTTCGCAAATAGTTTGACGTCCACGTTCAGCAAGGAAATGGGTCTATAATTGGAAACCTGGGTGTTGTCTCCTTCCGTCTTGGGGATAACTGTAATGTGAGCCTCCAACAGGTGGTTAGGCGGTCCTGAAGGTTGAGCGAGAGTGTTAAAAGCAGCAAGAAATGAAGTACCCAGTATATCTAAAAAGGATTTATAATAGGCTACTGAAAAACCATCAGGGCCCGGGCTCTTCCCCGGTTTCATCTGTTTTACTGCAGATTGCAGTTCAAGTAGGGTGAGATCATTTTCCATAGCGTGTACCAGATCCTCGGAGGAGGGCGGGTGAACGTAGAGATGGAGAAATTCAGAGATCAAGGTAGTTCTAGATTTGTCCGAATGTATGGGGGGACGTTCCGGAGGGAGGTTGTACAAGGATTTATAGTAGCGTTCAAAATGGGCGGCAATATCGCGAAGTATTCAAAAATTCGATTCGACTGATTCGGCGAATTCGTGGAAAAATTTTCGATTGGAGTCGAATATATTCGCTGCGAATTTAACTTATAAAAGGGTGTTTCTAGGCTTCAGAGAGACTTTATATTAGTGCAGAACACTGTACCTTTAATTTAAATGCCCTTGGAGTCTGCTGGGGAAGAGAAATAATACTGACAGTCAGTATGACATGCAGATGAGTGCCGTCGATCTTAGAATCACAGCACACTTCACTCATTTGGGCAGTCACGGGGCCAAAACCAGAGTGTGGAGCCACAGTGTGGCGGTGGAGGCAGCAGCAATGGGAGGCCATACAGCACCCTATGACAAAAATGGAAACCACCAGCAGTGTGAGGAGACCTGAAAGTGGCACATGGCAGAGTGTGGCGATGGAGACAGCAGCAATGGGAGGCCGTACAGGGACCCATGACACACTCTGGACCTGGCAGCAGCATGAGGAGGGCGGTACAGGGGCCCATGACAGATTACGGGCCTGGCAGCAGCATGAGGAGTCGGTACGGGGGGGCCCATGGCAGATTACGGGCCTGGCAGCAGCAATGGGAGGCCGTACAGGGACCCATGACACACTCTGGACCTGGCAGCAGCATGGGGAGGCGGTACAGGGGCCCATGACAGATTACGGGCCTGGCAGCAGCATGAGGAGTCGGTACGGGGGCCCATGACACACTCTGGACCTGGCAGCAGCATGAGGAGGCGGTACAGGGGCGCATGACAGATTACGAGCCTGGCAGCAGCAACTTGGACAGGAGGACGTTCAGCTTCTGCACCGTCGGGTGCGTGCTCGCAAACTGTTGTCTCTTGGAAACGGATTCCAAGAAAGACTGCTGACGGAATCCGTGAAGAGGAGTAGCAGGAGAAGGAGCATCTGAACGAGCGGAATATGCCAACAAGCGACAACAGGGGCCCATGACAGATTACGGGCCTGGCAGCAGCATGAGGAGTCGGTACGGGGGCCCATGGCAGATTAGGGGCCTGGCAGCAGCTATGGGAGGCCCGTAATCTGCCAGCACCCTATGACAAAAAATGGAACCCACCAGCAGTGTGAGGAGACCTGAAAGTGGCACATGGCAGAGTGTGGCGATGGAGACAGCAGCAATGGGAGGCCGTACAGGGACCCATGAGAGACTCTGGACCTGGCAGCAGCATGAGGAGGCGGTATAGGGGCCCATGGCAGATTAGGGGCCTGGCAGCAGCTATGGGAGGCCCGTAAATCTGCCAGCACCCTATGACAAAAATGGAACACACCAGCAGTGTGAGGAGACCTGAAAGTGGCACATGGCAGAGTGTGGGCGATGGAGACAGCAGCAATGGGAGGCCGTACAGGGGACCATGAGAGACTCTGGACTTGGCAGCAGCATGAGGAGGCGGTATAGGGGCCCATGGCAGATTAGGGGCCTGGCAGCAGCTATGGGAGGCCCGTAATCTGCCAGCACCCTATGACAAAAAATGGAACACACCAGCAGTGTGAGGAGACCTGAAAGTGGCACATGTTTGGGGCATGATTCATGGCGGATTTAGTCAGTTGTGTCAGGAACTGGTGGTTTGAAATCCAGACTAATCCACGCCTGATTCATTTTCACAAACGTCAGTCTCTCCACACTTTGGGTGGACAGTCGTGTCCTCCGCGGAGTTGCAATACCTCCTGCCGCACTAAACACGCGCTCCGATGCCACGCTACTGGCCGGGCATGACAGCCTTTCAAGGGCAAATTCAGCTAGTTGGGGCCAAAGGTCAAGTTTCGTTGCCCAGTAGTCAAGGGGATTGTCTACCTCGGTTGGCAGGGTGCTGTCCAAGTAGGCCTAAGCCTGTTGTTTGAGGTCCTGCTCCAGGTCCACCTGATGCTGCTGCTGCTGCTGCTGCTGCTGCTGCGGCTGGTTAGTAGTTTCCTCACTGCGCTGGTGAAGAAAGCTACTCATCATCGACTGCAGACTGAGGCAGCTGCTGCTGGTGGAGCTGCCACTGCTCCTACCACCCCACCCCTCCCCTGCTGCCATGGCAGCGGAACGCGAGGCGCACAGGGCCCACAGTGTCTGAGGATGGACGTTGGCGCAGACAGGCAGAGACCAGCTGACTACATAGGTGGTTTTTATAGTACGTTATTTTGGCCTCCCTCTCAGCAGGTGTGTGAAAAAGGGCCACCATTTTTGACGGTAGCGAGGGTCCAACAAGGTGGACAGCCAAAAGTCATCCCTCTGTCTGATGGTTATTATTCGGCTGTCGCTACGCAAGCAACCGAGCATGCTATGGGCCATTTGTGCCAAGGAATGCGAGGGACTCCCTGCCTCCATCTCCACAGCATACTGCCACGGTGCGTCTGGGTCCTCTGTCTCTCTCCTTCCTCCTCCTCTACCAGATGCTCCTGCTCCTCCACTCCTGTCCGCTGAGTGGAAAAACCACCCATTTCACTCAATAATTCCTGAGCACCAATGTCCTCCTCTACCTCCTCCTCTTCTTCCTGTCCTGCCCCCACAGGGGTCATGTGGCGTTGAGATCTGTGCGCCACGTCTACCGCACCCTGACCAGCCATTGTTAACAGCATTTGTTCCAGGACGTGCAACAGAGGAATGACGTCGTTCATCCCATAGTCCTGCCGACTCACGAATAGCGTGGCCTCCTCAAAGGGCCTGAGCAAGCGCAGGTGTCACGCATGAGCTGCCAATGGCTGACATCTAAGTTACACAGGGAGTACCTTTATCCGCTTTTAACATCAGGAAATCTGTGATGGCCTTTTGCTGTTCGTAAAGGCGGTCTAACATATGTAGGGTTGAATTCCACCTTGTTGCAACGTCACAGCATGAGGAGTCGGTACGGGGGCCCATGGCAGATTACGGGGCCTGGCAGCAGCAATGGGAGGCACGTAATCTGCCAGCAGCACCCTATGTCAAAAAATTCAACACACCAGCAGTGTGTGAGGAGACCTGAAAGTGGCACATGGCAGAGTGTGGCGATGGAGACAGCAGCAATGGGAGGCCGTACAGGGACCCATGACAGACTCTGGACCTGGCAAGCAGCATGAGGAGGCGGTATAGGGGCCCATGGCAGATTAGGGGCCTGGCAGCAGCTATAGGAGGCCCGTAATCTGCCAGCACCCTATGTCAAAAAATTGAACACACCAGCAGTGTGAGGAGACCTGAAAGTGGCACATGGCATGAGACATGTGGACCTGGCAGCAGCATGAGGAGGCGGTACAGGGGCCATGGCAGATTAGGGGCCTGGCAGCAGCTATGGGAGGCCCGTAATCTGCCAGCACCCTATGTCAAAAAAATTAAACACACCAGCAGTGTGTGTGGGAGACCTGAAAGTGGCACATGGCAGAGTGTGGCGATGGAGACAGCAGCAATGGGAGGCCGTACAGGGGACCCATGACAGACTCTGGACTTGGCAGCAGCATGAGGAGGCGGTATAGGGGCCCATGGCAGATTAGGGGCCTGGCAGCAGCTATGGGAGGCCCGTAATCTGCCAGCACCCTATGTCAAAAAATTGAACACACCAGCAGTGTGTGACCTGAAAGTGGAGGAGACCTGAAAGTGGCACATGGCAGAGTGTGTGGCGATGGAGACAGCAGCAGCAATGGGAGGCCTGGTACAGGGGTCCCATGACAGACTCTGGACCTGGCAGCAGCAGCATGAGGAGGCGGTATATAGGGGCCTATGGCAGATTTGGGGCCTGGCAGCAGCTATAGGAGGCCCGTAATCTGCCAGCACCCTATGTCAAAAAATTCAACACACACCAGCAGTGTGAGAGACCTGAAAGTGGCACATGGCAGAGTGTGGCGATGGAGACAGCAGCAATGGGAGGCCGTACAGGGACCCATGACAGACTCTGGACTTGGCAGCAGCATGAGGAGGCGGTATATAGGGGCCCCATGGCAGATTAGGGGCCTGGCAGCAGCTATAGGAGGCCCGTAATCTGCCAGCACCCTATGTCAAAAAATTCAACACACCAGCAGTGTGAGGAGACCTGAAAGTGGCACATGGCAGAGTGTGGCGATGGAGACAGCAGCAATGGGAGGCCGTACAGGGACCATGACAGACTCTGGACTTGGCAGCAGCATGAGGAGGCGGTATAGGGCCCATGGCAGATTAGGGGCCTGGCAGCAGCTATGGGAGGCCCGTAATCTGCCAGCACCCCTATGTCAAAAATTCAACACACCAGCAGTGTGAGGAGACCTGAAAGTGGCACATGGCAGTGTGGCGATGGAGACACAATGGGGGCCTACAGGGACCCATGCAGCTCTGAGCAGGAGGCGCGGTATAGGGGCCCATGGCAGATTAGGGGCCTGGCAGCAGCTATGGGAGGCCCGTAATCTGCCAGCACCCTATGTCAAAAAAATTGAACACACCAGCAGTGTGAGGAGACCTGAAAGTGGCACATGGCAGAGTGTGGCGATGGAGACAGCAGCAATGGGAGGCCGTACAGGGACCCATGAGACAGACTGGACTTGGCAGCAGCATGAGGAGGCGGTATATAGGGGCCCATGGCAGATTAGGGGCCTGGCAGCAGCTATGGGAGGCCCGTAATCTGCCAGCACCCTATGTCAAAAATTCAACACACCAGCAGTGTGAGGAGACCTGAAAGTGGCACACATGGCATGAGACAGCACAATGTGGACCTGGCAGCAGCCTTGCAGCAGCATGAGGAGGCGGTTGGTACAGGGGCCCATGGCAGATTAGGGGCCTGGCAGCAGCTATAGGAGGCCCGTAATCTGCCAGCACCCTATGTCAAAAAATTCAACACACCAGCAGTGTGTGAGGAGACCTGAAAGTGGCACATGGCAGAGTGTGGCGATGGAGACAGCAGCAATGGGAGGCCGTACAGGGACCCATGAGAGACTCTGGACTTGGCAGCAGCATGAGGAGGCGGTATATAGGGGCCTATGGCAGATTAGGGGCCTGGCAGCAGCTATGGGAGGCCCGTAATCTGCCAGCACCCTATGACAAAAAATGGAAACACACCAGCAGTGTGTGAGGAGACCTGAAAGTGGCACATGTTTTTGAGGCATGATTCATGGCGGATTTAGTCAGTTGGTCAGGAACTGGTGGTTTGAAATCCAGACTAATCCACGCCTGATTCATTTTCACACAAACGTGAGTCTCTCCACACTTTGGGTGGACAGTCGTGTCCTCCGCGGAGTTACAATACCTCCTGCCGCACTAAACACGCGCTCCGATGCCACGCTACTGGCCGGGCATGACAGCCTTTCAAGGGCAAATTCAGCTAGTTGGGGCCAAAGGTCAAGTTTCGTTGCCCAGTAGTCAAGGGGATTGTCTACCTCGGTTGGCAGGGTGCTGTCCAAGTAGGGCCCAAGCCTGTTGTTTGAGCTCCTGCTCCAGGTCCACTGATGCTGCTGCTGCTGCTGCTGCGGCTGGTTAGTAGTTTCCTCACTGCGCTGGTGAAGAAAGCTACTCATCATCGACTGCAGACTGAGGCAGCCGCTGCTGGTGGAGCTGCCACTGCTCCTACCACCCCCCCTCCCCTGCTGCCATGGCAGCGGATAACGCGAGCGCACAGGGCCCACAGTGTCTGAGGTATTGGACGTTGGCAGCACAAAGGCAGAGACCAACTGACTACATAGGTGGTTTTTATAGTACGTTATTTTGGCCTCCCCTCTCAGCAGGTGTGAAAAAGGCCACCATTTTTGAACGGTAGCGAGGGTCCCAACAAGGTGGACAGCCAAAAGTCATCCCTCTGTCTGATGGTTATTATTCGGCTGTCGCTACGCAAGCAACCGAGAGCATGCTATGGGCCATTTGTGCCAAGAATGCGAGGGACTCCCTGCCTCCATCTCCACAGCATACTGCCACGGTGCGTCTGGGTCCTCTGTCTCCTCCTCCTCCTCCTCTACCAGATGCTCCTGCTCCTCCACTCCTGTCCGCTGAGTGGAAAAAACCACCCATTTCACTCAATAATTCCTGAGCACAAATGTCCTCCTCTACCTCCTCCTCTTCTTCCTGTCCTGCCCCCACAGGGGTCATGTGGCGTTGAGATCTGTGCGCCACGTCTACGCACCCTGACCAGCCATTGTTAACAGCATTTGTTCCAGGACGTGCAACAGAGGAATGACGTCGTTCATCCCATAGTCCTGCCGACTCACGAATAGCGTGGCCTCCTCAAAGGGCCCTGAGCAAGCGGCAGGTGTCACGCATGAGCTGCCAATGGCTGACATCGAAGTTACACAGGGGAGTACCTTTATCCGCTTGTAACATCAGGGAAATCGGTGTGATGGCCTTTCGCTGTTCGTAAAGGCGGTCTAACATGTGTAGGGTTGAATTCCACCTTGTTGCAACGTCGCAGATCAGGCGATGCTGTGGAATTCCGTTCTGCCGCTGCAGCTCAATGAGGGTGTGCTTTGCGGGTGTAGGAATGGCTGAAATGCATGCAAAGTTTACGTGATTTTTAAGGATGTCTTGCAGTGGGATGGTGGATTTTAGGAACCGCTTGACAACCAGATTGAACACGTGAGCCATGCATGGCGCATGGCACAACCTTCCTTGACGCAGAGCAGACACCATGTTCTTTCCGTTGTCGGTCAACATGGTTCCGATTTTCAGTTTGCGCGGAGACAGCCATCTGTCGATTTCTCTGTTCATTACACTCAGAAGTTCCTCCCCTGTGTGACTACGTTCGCCAAGGCATACCAGGTGCAGCACAGCGTGACACCGTTGCGCCCTGCACATGTGATATGCCGGTCGGGTAATGGGACTTGGCACGGGGGGGTGGCGGCTGAGGACACGGCGGAAAGAAGAGGTGGTAGAGGCGGACATCTTTTGTGGACCAAGGACGTGCAAACGTGGAGGCAAAAGCGGCGTGACCTGTCCAAGTTTGCTGGTGCGGACGACTGTGACGGCACAGTTCACCCAGTGGGCCGTTAAATGACATGTACTGTCCCTGACCGTAGTTACAGCTCCACACGTCGGCGCATGCCGTGCACTTTGGCAAGAGACCGACATGCTCAAAGGACTGGCCCACCATCTCTTCTACATGTGAATGCAGGGCGCAAAAGTGGCACTGCCCGACCCTTTTTGGCGAAGAAATGACGGCTTGGCACTCTCCACCGCGGCGCGGCACACAGCCCCATTGGACATTATCGGAAAGGTGCTGTTGTCCACCACTTGGAAAGGGAGCGGACTGCAGCCCATGGCAACTTGGAAGGGGACGTTCAGCTTTTGCACCATATCGGGTGCGTGCTCGCCAGCAACTGTATGTCTCTTCAAACACATTCCAAGCAGTGCTGTGCTGACCTGAAAGTGCACATGGGAGAGTGGCGAAGGAGACATGCAGCAATGGGAAGATGCCAACGGGACCCATGAGAAACTCCTGGACCTCAGCTTCCTCGTGAAGAGGTGTTGGAGCATTGACTGGCGCCAGGGGCATGCCCAGCCGCGATGATGGGAGGGTGTAATCTGGCAGTAGCCCTATGAGGGGTGATTTGCGGGGGGTGTGGGCAGGCTGAAAACGCCGTATCTTTAAGGAGCTTGCACTTTCGGAACCATGGCGGTGGGGCCCAAATGGGCACTGCGTGTGCAAATGAACCGTTCCCGCAGGCCAAAAGGCGGCAGGGCTGTAGGTCATCATGAACATGGGCAGACTACCACGCTTGACTAGGATCTGGACTGGCGACACATTGTGACGGACATGTACCGGAAAACACCAGCAGTTTACTTCCTGTGTCTGGGGGGCTTGACAGTGGCAATGCAAAGGTGTGGCCATGGGGGGGGGGTAACAACAATGGTGAGGCACTTCCTCGGGCTGCAGCAGCTATGAGGAAGGTGCCCCTAGGGGCACATGGCCAGGGCAGGGGCCTAGGACAGCGGGGAGGCAAGGCCCGTAATCTGCCAGGGGTGGACGTTGGGGGGGAAGGGGTGGGGGGGGGGGGGGCGTGGTCTTTTGGGACCCACAATGGGGCAGGTGCAAGACGTCACAGGGCCCCATGTGGGGCGGACCTTCCGCAGACTAGCATTGGAGGTGGCTGATGAAACGGAACCCAGGAGGCCCCCCATTGCAGAGGGGCTGCAAAGCCATGTGGCGGGCCCAGTATTGGCCATGGCCTTACGTGGGCTGCCAAGGACCCTATGTCAAAAAAATTGGGGGGCTGAGCAAACAGCCTCTTGGGTTGTGAGGAGACCTGGAAGGGGCATGCCCCTGAAGGGTTGGGCGGGTGGGCACACAAGGGAGGCAAACAGGGACCAAACCTGGGGGCTCTGCAGCTTGAGGGGGGGGGCGCCCAATAGGGGTCGCCGGAATGGGGGCCTGGAGGCTGGGGACTCCCCGTAACCGTTGCCAGACAACTGCCGATGGGTTAGTTTTTCACTTGGAAACCCCCAGCAGCCAGGAGATCCTGGAGGAGTGGCAGATGGCAGAGTTAGTGGAGATGCCAGACAGAGCAGATGGGCTGCCGCTAAAGCCACCCAGGAGGGGTGGGACTGGCAGGCATGTGTCTGGCGGAGCACGCCATTGACTTGACGGGCACATTAACTATAGGGTGCGTCCATTTTTACCGGGCTACCTCGACCCCTGAGTACTTTGCTACTGAACGAAAAATAAGTCCCAACCATTGGCGCACATTACTGCCCCCAAGCTGCATATGCTGTTCCGCCAACGTGCAACGTACTGCTGGGCTCCCAAACTTGACCGAACGACATTCTGCACTGTTTACTCCTCAGGGTTTAACTTGGATTCTTGCCACACACCCCCGAGTAACAATTTGTGGCCCTACTCAGTAACAATGGCTGACTGCATCTTCCTCCGTGTCACAACCGGACAACTACGAACTGGCCGTGGTGGTAGGGCTGCAGTGGTTCTGTGGTGCCAGTACTCTGTGGCCTGAAGTAACATTTTGGCTCCACTGACACTGCTGTTCCCTGAGGACCCTCTGTGCCTCAGTAACAATTCTGGGAAACCCACCGACTGTTTTGCTCGCTGCCAAGCTGCCCACCCTCTTCTCCTGATGATGGCGAAGAAGAATTCTAGCCTGATGACGACGAGAGGCTGCCAAGTGCGATCAAACTCATCATCATCAGTAGGGTCTCCGCCTCACTACTAGCCCCCTCGGCTGCGTCTGGGTCAGGAGACAGACCTGTCTCTAGACCGGCTACCGAGCCACTCTCCTCGCCACTACTTCTTCGCCTGGCTGCTGAAAAAGGCGGATGTCTCCCCCGTTCCTGACCGCCCTCTGTTAGCTCTTCCTCACTGTAACAGTGGGGCTGAGCCCACAGCATGCGATACTTCGCTTGGTGAGGGAACACCAAAGGACAGGGGCAGGTAGTAGGACACGTGATTTCAGTGGGCTTGGTCCCGGGCCATGCCAACTAACGGTTGTGTCTGACGTACCCCACCGACCGTTGGCTGTAGGTGTCAGAGGTGACCTGGGAAGAGAAGAAGACGACCGAGCCAACCAATCGACGACGGCAGGGTTGTCGGTGGAGACACGACCGCTGGATGACACACCGGGAGCAACTGGCCTCTGGCTGCGAATAGTGCTGCCTCGACCCCTTCCTCTGCTGCCACGTCTGCTCGCTCCTAAAAACATTTGCCTCCTCTGCCACTCCTCTGCATGTTGTCTGACATACTCTTTAATTCAAACGATTCTGTGTCCCTGAGTAACAATTCTGTGTCCCTGAGTAACAATTCTGTGTCTGTCCCTGAGTAACAATTCTGTGGCCCTAAGTAACGGTTCTGTGGCCCTCAGTAACAATTCTGTGTCCCTCAGTAACAATTCTGTGTCTGTCCCTGAGTAACAATTCTGTGGCCCTAAGTAACGGTTCTGTGGCCCTCAGTAACAATTCTGTGTCCTGTGTCCCTGAGTAACGTTTCTGTGTGGCCCTAAGTAACGGTTTCTGTGGCCCTGAGTAACAA